ATGAATTGAAAAAATATAATTTAGCATATCACTCAACAGAACCGTTAACTGTATATCTGTGAACATCTTTTTAGAAGCATTTCTTTTTATGTCTTTCAGTGTCTTTCACTACATTTTTCAGTATTCAAGATGCAAACTTAAAATGGGAATCTTTCTTGTCATACTTGGAGAGCCAACTGTAAACACTGGATGAGGGCATTTGACCATAGAAGCAAGGTTTGAGATGTTTGCATGGTAAGTTTTAGTTTGAACATGTTCAGAATGTTGTTGATATTTAACGTTGTACTTTTGTACATGAAGAGCAAAGTTAACAAAAGTCAAATTCCTTTTGTGTGTGAGCACACCTGGACAGTAAAGCTGATTCTGATGTTGTAGATATTTGTATGTTTGTGTTTTAGAAGAGACTAGTGTTTCTACAAAAGGGGCACTCGTACTGATAAGGGTTCTTTCGAGAACTGCAGGGGGAGTCAATCAAATGTTAAAACTTTCATTTAAATATGATCAGTCGTGCACATTTCCTTCCACAATTACTATGATAAGTGCACGAGAACAAGTTTTTTATACAGTGATTTAAAGTTAATATTCCAGTTATTGGTGGAACTGTTAACTAAACTGATGTAAAGTGTCAACACATTTAAGGTTGTTTGTTGCTTTGTTTACATCTGTTGAAAGCCAGGTTAGACAAATCAAGAAATTGTATTCATAGTTGAAACATAGCAGCTGGTGAAAACACTGTTGGTATCAGGAACAATATATTTCAATACTCATTCTAAACCCTGCCCAGAGTTTGTGCTATTATTTTCCGGAAGAATTGCCAACATGAAGTGTTCTTTTGTGTGTTTAGGAAATCAGACACTAACTACACAGTGCTGTGTTTTAACATTTTGGAAAGGCTATTTATCCTTTCCCCTTTTTATTGAAAAAACTGGTGTGAATGAATGAACGTGTACTTGTACTTGTGACATGTTGTATGAACACATCAGCTGCTGTAGTGTGGTTAGGGGCATTTTGTTGACAAACATGCCAGATTAAGATTAAAAAATGTATAATGCGTAATAATGTGTAACTGTAGTGAACATTTCCCTTTGATAAAATCATCTTGTGGAATGAACAAGATGCACAAAATTAAAGTTCTAGTGAAGAGGTGATGTTCCACAGCTGCTTGAATTCAACGTATGTGTGTGTGTGTGTGTGTTTGTTTGTGTGTATGCGTGTATGTGGAGTGGGTGTGGGTCGATTTCTTCCAAAACAGACACTTCACCTTGGATAGAAAATCAATAAGAAGTCATAAATGCCAGTGTGTGGAAAACAGCTAAGTCACTGATATTTATCAAGGGCACTATCATTCCCCAGAATAAACAGTGCTATACCGGGCAGTAAAAACTTATTCTTCTTCTTTAAGACGTCTTTTAATGGGGCTGTGTGGTCACGCTAAGCGGGATGTGGTGCAGCGCGGCTTGACAACCCGTGTGAGCATTTGTGTTTGGTAGCTGATATGGCTTTTTGCTTCATAAAGGGTTAGTAAGTAAGTGTGTCAGTGGAAAGGGCTGATTACACAACACACAGACTTGTGCTGAGTGTTCATTCACACTAAAAGCCACACAAGGGAAGAGCTATGTTTGAATGTGCTGACCTGCTCGCCTAATCTTAGTAATTCTCACTCTGATTAGCTAAATTTGTGCTTTAGGCAAACATGGAGACACTTTAAATACTGCAAGGGGAGAGAGGAGTAAATAAGAGGAGAAGTGGTAAAAGAAAAGGAAGAACTCTGCCTTCTGTTGGCCGTGAGGAGGTACTACAGCAAACTGTTGCTTTAAGAGACAGTAAACCTCCAATTTGTTGTGTTTTCTGCTCCTTCTTTCATCTCCTGTTCAGTTAGATAACGATTTAACATCCAGTCATCCCTATAAATGTTATCATTGACCTCAAGCCTCATCCCAATACTCCCTTCTAAGGAGGGGGGGGGGGGGGGGGTGATGAGAGTCGACAGCACAGGAGGTAGAAATCAAATCTGAGGAGTGACTGACTGCAGCACCAGCAGAGACTGGTAGGAGATACAAGCAGAAGAAGGAGGACAAGCCTTGACCCCGAGGAGCACAAATCCTCTGAAATCAACTCGGCTCTGTCGACAGGGAGAGGAAAATCCTGCCTGAAGCCTGAGTTATGGATTGTGTCTTTTGTGCCTTTTTCTTTGGAAGTCAGCGAGGGGACAGGAAAAACCTCATAAATATTACATCCTTCAAATTTTAACAAGCTGGGATGGAACACAAATAAACATTCAAAGCTGAGACAGTCTTCCCATTTGTCGGTCAATCATTACAAATACAACCGGCAAGTACTTTGTCAGTATATTTGAAAGTTTTCAAACAAAATCTCAAACAATCGACGGTCCTAGTTCAGTGTGATTTGCCTTTTTTTGGGCTAAACAAGACATTAAGAAACATAATGTGGGGCTTTTTAGAAGGGCATTTCTATAATTTTCTGATATCCGATACACCAAATATATGATGACCGAATACTATAGTTTCTTTCATCCCTATATTCATCAAGTACATTAGTACTATAAGATGATGACTTTTGGCAAAAGTATTTTTATGCATAGTCTGGCCTTCACCTCAAAGCGCCACCTGATTCTATTCAGGGACTTTATGTCAACTATTTCTATTAATTCAGCAAGAAGAGAAGTTCTTCTTGAGACACTAAATAGTAGATCACTTCTGTTTAAAACCTGAATATGACATATGTAGGATGACCTAAGATGAGTTTTGCTTGTGTGAAGTGAAAATGTAGAACACTTGCTAAACAGTTCCTTGAATTAATTTTGCAACTACAGGACAAGTTCAGATTTACTTTGAGTTCAGCAAATCCCCAGAGTCAAAATGACGACATCACCATCTGCGAGGCACCGTGTCAAAAATTGTGTCTGAAGTTGTTGACTGTCTGTGTGTTTAAAATAGGAACACATTGGACACTATCCCCTGAGAGAGCAGCCTTATTATTATTATTTTGTTAGGAAACAGGTGCCTCCTCGTGCTGAACCTGGAAGGATAAGCCAATATCACAATATCAGGCAGGCATGATGCATCTGAGAGTATTAAAGTAAACAACTGTGGTGTACAAGGCTTCTTAGGCCAAGGTCCAGCCAAAGAAAGAAGACATTTCCACCACAGTCGCTGGCTTTGTTCTTCAGTTCTGACCTGGCAGAGTTCAAACTGTACGCTTATCTGTTTGCATTTACTGTACTGAAATAAACCCTCTGTTAAATGTGTGACATATTACCAGTTTCTTTAGGTCACTTTGCACCCTCTATAGTTTGTTTCATGTTTCTGAGTCTCCTCCCACTCTCCTGCTGTAGTTACGCCAATCGATGTGATCCACTTAATCAATGAGTGACAGGGCCTTTGAACTGCAGACGTGATTTCCAGCAGGTCTGTCATCCCACCCTGTCGTCTGTGAAAACACTCTGGGGGGAGATTACTCCAAACAGGCCCGACTCGTAAAACTCTTTATATGTTAAAACACACACACACACACACACACACACACACACACACACACACACACACACACACCCAGGTCCAGAAAAAAAGTCAGGGATTGCATGAAGTGTAAAGCATCTACTTTTCCTTACAGAGAAGAACTTGCTAAAGGTAAGGACATCATCTTTGAGAGAACTTGCTGCTGAGTTAAAGCACTGTACACTATCTTTTCTATCGTTCAGTGCAAAAACAACAAGTTCCTCCGGCCTCCTCCACAGCTGAGACAAAGCTCTCCACCCCCTGTGTGGCTTCTGTGTAGGCAAAGACGAGGAAGGGAAAAAGGGAATGTTTTGCCTCTCTCTCTCTCTCTCTCCCCCCTCCCCTCTTCCCTCACCTCCCCAGGGCAGCTCTGTGTAGTAATAAACGTCCCCCATAAATCTCCCCCTCACGCCATCCTCCCCTCCTCCAGCACCAACTTACTTTTTTTTTTGTTAACAGCTCCTTTTCTTCTCTCCCTGTGCCTTTCTTTTCCTCTTCTCTTTTCTAATGCAACCCAACCCTGACATTGACTCTGCACATGGCCGATGGCTGCTCTGTCATGGATTCAAAGGGCGGGAGTAGGGGGAGGGGGGGGGGGGGCGTGTGGGGAGAAGAGGAAGACGATGGACCACAATAGACTTGTATAGGTTTCACTCTGTGCAGCTAGGCTCTTTTCTATGTGGCTGTCATTGTGACGAGCTGTGGTAAAATCTGGTGAGGTCACACATGTATCACGTTGATCTCCTTTACCTGATGGAATGACACATCCAGGCACATATTCAGCACAGCGGAGCAGCATTAAGCCTGCTGTCAAAAAAACTGTAAGATGAGAGAGAGAGAGAGAGAGCTAGAGAGAGAGGAGTTTTAGCGGGGAAATAACTGTGGTAGGGAAAGAGTTAAAAGCCCTGGCTGCTTGAATTCACCGGAAAGCCCCACAAGTGACGTTACAGTCCAGCAATTAAGAGTAAATTAATTACAGAGTAGTGGATGGTAGCTGAAACCCTGAGGATAGTGCACTACCTCCCAGTAAACAACTTTAGAATATTTAAGTACCAGACCTCATGGGAGAAAACAGCAAATTAAGCTTTAGTCATATTTGGCTTAAAACTCTTATAGTAACTTTATAAATTTACTTTATTCCTCATTTAAATAATCAGAAATACAACATGAACAGTCACCTTAAGGGTTAAAAGTGATTTTTCATGTGTTATCCAAAGTTTTTACTTTCCTTTGAAAAATAAACCTGCTTTCTGTGGAGAGAGAAAATATATAAAACTGAGTTATTTTCAATGTTTTTTCCTCAAAATGATATTTAAAAAAAACAAAAACAAAAACGTCTGTCTGTTTAGTAGGCCTATTCCTCCTAGTCCCCGCAGAAGAGGAAGATTTAAAAAAAAAAAAAAAAAAAAAAAAAAAAAAACTTTAACTGAAAGTTGACGCCCAGCGTTGCAAGCTCCTCCTGCAAAAGGATTATAAAGCAAATGTCGGGGCTTGGTGCAGGGCAGAGGGGGAGTTCTGCTGGGTCAAAAAATACACACAGGAGCTGCAAATCAGAAACTCAGCAGACCTGCGCAACTTTCTAACAAGCACAGTTTTGGGGCTTTTTTTTTTTAATTTTAATTTACTACTTTTGAGTTGAATCTGGTCGCTGCAAAGATGACCACAGCCGTGGTGTCGCCTTTCTTCGACTTCGAAGTGATCAACAAGGTAGCCTTCTAAACTTTTTTTTCTTTTTTAACTCTGCTCCCTTGTTAGCCTGCTAGCCCGCACTGAGGGTTTAGCCGCTGTGGAGGAATGAAGCGCTGCATGCCCGCGGCCCTCTCTGCCGTGACGCCTTCTGTTTGTAACCTGTTTAGTCGTTTGTTTTTATGTTTGGCTGTTTTGATTTGTGTATCAAAAGTGTTCGCTCTTTGTTTTTGCCCGCCGTTTCCTTGTTTAAACACTGTCGGAGGCGTTATTTTAGGTTGAACTGAGCTTTTTTTGAAAAGTGTGCTGAAGCCTGACGGTAGTTTTTACTTTTAAAACTCGGCAACTGTGTCTTGTACATTATTCAACACGTCCCGCCAATCTATTTTAAATAGCTTTGCTTCGCTGTCACCTCACAGTTTGTACCGTCAACAGTAGCTGCTGTGTTTCTTTAAATGAGGGCCGTTTTGCGCCACTTTTAATACTCTCCACAAAGCAGCCACATGCTCTCTAATCATTAACAAGGATCGTCTTGCTTTAACCTACTGTAGCTCCCATAACACTCCTTGCGTTGTTAATGGTGTTTAAACCAGAACATTTTTTTTTTGGGGGGGGACTTATTTTCAGAAGAGTGAACTGCCCTCTTGTAAGGCTACATCACTGCGTCCTTTTCGTTTGCATACATTGAGATGTTTTCAGGGTCGGATTTCTCATTAAACTCTTAACTGTGTCATTCATGTAAATCAGTGAGCAGCCAGCCGTCTCATCGAGCCTGGAAGTGTATTGAAAGCGGACCAGTTTCTCTCTCGTAATGCAACAGGATGCGTCGCCACTTTAATTATCTTTTCAAATGATGCAGCCTCTTTGTAGCCACTAGCAGCCCTGTGGCCTCTTCATGTGCTGCTGCTGCTGCTCCATTTACTAAACAGGCACACATTCCTCACCAGGGCAACTTGCCAAACCAGCTGCTGTTCTATAGGCCTGTATCCGCTTATGTAGTCAGAGCCAAAAAGAACACAGTCATGCAAGAGGAGGCTGTGGATCTCTTTCTGTGTGGCCGAACAGCTTTTGTCAAAAGTAAGAACTTCATTGACTGTTGTAGCAGGAGAATATTTTTTTCTGATGCTGTGTGTTCTTTGTGTTTCCGCAGAACAACAAATTGCTCAGCTACAACAACAACCTGGGTGCACCCCCATCCAATGTCTGTTCCTTGCACTGGCACCAATGTGCCCCTCTCCAGCCCCACCGGAGCCCTGCTGGACAGGAAGGCGGTGGGGTCTCCCTCAGTTGGAGGTGTGTACCAGCGGCGTCACTCTGTCAGCAGCACAAAGTTCAGCCAGAACCAGTTTCTGAACAGCCTGAAGGCAGCGGACCACTCCTCATTCATCTCAGGGGTTGGCAATGCCAGCAACAACAAGGAGAACCGCCTGCGAGACCGCTCCTTCTCAGAGACGGGCGAGAGGCTCCTCAACAAGTGCCTGGGCCCGGCCAGCCCCACCGGCAGCAACAGCCAGGTGAACTCCAGTCGCTACAAGACGGAGCTGTGCAGGCCCTTCGAGGAGAATGGCTCCTGCAAGTACGGCGACAAATGCCAGTTTGCTCACGGAATCCATGAACTGCGCAGCCTGAGCCGCCACCCCAAATACAAAACTGAGCTGTGCCGCACCTTCCACACCATCGGATTCTGCCCCTATGGGCCTCGCTGCCATTTCATCCACAACGCCGAGGAGCGCCGTGGACCCCCGCAGTCCTCCCCTCTTAACTCTTCCAACAAGATGGAGAGGCCTCGACTGCAGCACAGCTACAGCTTCGCAGGCTTCTCGAGCTCAGCCGGGCTCAGAGACAGCCCCACCTCTGTCACCCCTCCACCCATGTTCTTCCCTGATGAGGTCCCCGACTGGCCCAGCAGTAACCCCTTCACCTATTCCAGCCAGGAGCTGGCCAACCTGTTTGGGCCCAGCCTCAGTGCTGGTCCTGTAGGCACAGAGCTCAACACCCCTGCACCTCCCTCTCCAACAAGCACACCTTACTTTTTCAGACCCATGTTGGAGTCCCCTCAGATGTTCGAGTCTCCATCCAGCCCTCCCGACTCGTTGTCAGACCAGGAGGGCTACCAGAGCAGCTCTGGAGGCAGCCTGAGTGGCTCTGAGTCCCCCACGCTGGACACCACCCGCCGCCTTCCAATCTTCAGCCGCCTCTCCATCTCTGATGATTAAACCGCACGCTTCCACCAGTGACTTTTAGTTCGATGACACAGAGAGAACACGGCACTCCCCCTCTACCTCTGCCCTTTTCGAATCTCCCTGTCCTTCCTTACACAAGATACCATGTTAGCTCCTGGTTAGCTTTGTAAGGACGTGGTCACTTAAGGGAACTCTGTTAACTCAAATTATCATTTCATCCCTGCCTACCCGCACAGCCAGTTTAAAAACCTACCCTGCCATGTGTCATAGTGCCAAAAAGGAGAGGAAATTGAACAATATAAATCATGAGAACAAGAATTGACTGTTTTGCCAGGTGCCACTTGTTATTTTTTTTTTTCTTCTTCATTTGTTCTTGAATGTGTAGCAGCACAAGTGGCCTTGGAAAGGGGAGTGCATTGCACTAGCCCACCCCCTCTTTCTCCCCCTTTCTCCTCCCTGACGATACCACTTCCTCTGAGCTAGCTAGAGGGTGCTCACTAACGTAACTGTAGATCTACCACAGCCGTTTTTACAGACAGAGTTCTGACAAAAGGAAAAAAATAAAGACCCTGAAAAGATATGAATAGTTTTTAAAAAAAAAAAGAAAAAAGTGCCTGGGGCGGTTTCTGCATGTGTTTAGGGTGAATGGACTACTGTTTGTTTTTGGTTCTTTCTCATTTGCCCCTCCACCCCCCCCTTGTCACAGTTCTTCTCAAGCCCCGGCTTATGTAATTGTGGACTGGGTGAGTCTGCAGGAAGGACTTTGAACTGGAAGTTGGTTATGTTCCCCCTCTTCATGAGTTTTTCTCCTGTTGCTGGTCACTGGCTCTTTTTTTTTTGGGAAGGAAGTCTTGATATCAAACTGATCATTAAACCTGTAAGACTTTGTCCTGCCTCTCACCCCCTGCCTCCCCCCTTCATCCTCGCCGATCAGGGGATTTCCAGCATTCCCATGGTGCAGTTGTACATCCTGCAACTTGACGAGATCGGATCTCCAAGCTATCTTACTTTACTTCTCTCCCCCCCCCCACTTTAGAACATGCTCTGAGGAGCACTCTGTACTCATTACATCCCTTCTTTTTTTTTTTTTTTTGCTTCTTTTATTTGATAATTATTTTTTATTAATGTTATTATTACGGTTATTATTGTTTGAAAAAAACTTTCCAGACGAAGGTTTGCTTGTCACTGCTTATTTAACTTATCAGAACATATTTATTGGTGATCATATGCATTTTTTGTTAATTTTGTTTTGTATTTATCTGGATAATGAACAATAGAATATATTTTCTTTTATGTTAAATTATGATCTTCCATATTAATCTAAAGATTGTGAAGACGTTTTTGTCAGTTTTCCTTTTTTCACAGTTTAATATATTGTACTTCAATGACTTTTGTTCTGCAACTACACTTTGTCAAAATGAAACTTAATTTAAAGCAAAAAAAAAATGCAAAAAAGACGTTTTGCGTTTTGATTATTTATTGTACTTTTTTTTCTTACTCCCTCTTATTGGACTGCAATTCCATTTAAACTAGATTTGCTTGTATTCATTCCGGATGTTCCCCCCCCACATCTTTTAAAATAACCTGACAGTAACAGTAGCTAACTGTTATTCCATTAAGTAAACTCTTGGGATGATGGTGGAAGTTAAGGGGTGCTTAGACCGCCCTCTGGTTTAGGAGAGTCTCCCCGTTAGAAGACTGGTTCATGTTAAAATGTCTTCTCTTGGCTCTGTTCTTACACCCAGTCTGTTATTACAAGCAATAGCTGTGACCAAATGGGATGGGGAAAGTTTATTATGTTTCTCTTTTTAAAAATTGATTGGATGCTTGATGCACTTGCTTGGCCCGCCCCCCCCTCTCCTCCCATCTTGACCATTGGAAGTGCCTCGTTGAATACATTCCAGGTAGCTAAGGCTTCTGTGCCTTTTATATTTGATAATGGAGGACAATTCATTTTTAAAAAAAGTCACATGTTCTGTGTTGCCTTCACTTTTTTTTTGTTTGGAAGAGGTGAGCAGATTTTGACACAAAGAAAGTAAAACAGTTGAATGTATTTTTTCAGCCATGGTTTTTTTCACTACAGTAATTTCTGTGAGTTTATATGAAAACCTGTTTTTTTTTTTTTCTCTTTTGTAAGTATTGATTGCAGTTAAGTCAATAAACCCCGTATTTTTGGAAAAGTTAAACTGTGTGATGACTTTTGTACGGCGGGACGTCATGCAGATGAAAATGCTGCGACACCTTTTTGCTGTCAGAAATGATTCAAGATGCTTGATGCTGTTACTGTACATATTTGTCTTTAAAATTGTCTCCCTATTAAACTTGATAATGAATTTAAGTACAAACTGCCTCAAAACACTTTCATCTAGCTGCTTACTGCTCTCACTTCGAAGCTTACACATGGATGGCATTTATTTATATTATTTGCATAATGCAGGCCTTAAGGGAATTAAAGCACGTGGGGTAAAGCTTAAAAATCACACTTAAGGAATGCCCCATAAATCCACAGACTGACACTATAACTCAGTGCATGTGAAAACAATTATCTTATTGTAAAGTTTACATTTGGTATCAATATGATCTCTTGATAGTTGCTTATTCAGCATACTTTGGATTATGACAGTTTGCTATAATGAAAATGAATAGTTTTTTAAAATCTCTAGTTTACAGTTAACTCCCATTTCAACATAATACTTAAATGTTCAACTTTGAAAACCCCCGCTTCATATTGTTTCCAAATGTAAAATCATACATGCAGTAATTGGTAAAACAGAGCCGTCTGTGCATAATGCAGAACTAAAGGGAGTTTCAGCGTGATGGCAGGTGATTGGTGAACTGCCCAGAGAACAGTCAGGGGGATTGACCTGGGGATGATCGAACTCCTGATTGAGCAGGTTTGGTTACACAACGACAAAACACTCCTGATTTCAGCAGAAATATTGATCAAGGGAGGCTGTACCCGTAACATTTCCAAGAATAAAAAAAAGTGTGATTTGCCGAGGTTATCAGCTGATCAATGATCCTAAGGTTACATGGGAGCTGATCGATAAGTGTGAGCGGATATGTCTGGGTAGTACGGATAAACATAGAGTCACGGATTGCTCAGTCAATAGGATTGTTAGAATTTACAGCATCATGGTTTATTTTTACATTGATAAATAAATTTAGACAATCCCAGTTTCACCATAAGCAGTGTGGTATTTAATTTCAACAACAACACTGCAGCTTCCCCTTGGTTCACTCCACTCAACATCAACACTGCTTCTGCATTTGCTCGCTCTATGAACACTTCCGTCTGTCCGTGTTTATGTACTCTCGGATTGCAAAAAGCAGCCGGAACAGGAACTCCCTTCCCTTCGTACATACAATGGTGGGTGCTGACCCGTTACAGCTGACCTGTGGAGGCCTCCTTGTTGCTTTTTTCCAGTGAACCTGGGCCTGGAAGATCCTTGTCTTGTTCCTTCACTCCCCCCTAACTCCCAGCCCTTATCACTGAACAAACTGCCTGCCTGCTTGCCTGCTGAGTTGTTTGACTTCTTTTCTCTTTCTGTATACCAGGACAAATCAGCTAGGAAACATGCTACCAAATGTTCCTTTGACTGCTTACTACTTTACATTGTTAAGTTTTAATCTTTAAAGCAGAGAGTGACAGTGAGAAACCCCAAAGCTGGGGAACTATGACTGCTCACAGAGTCCATATGAAACAGTGATGCAACAGCATGTTTTGAATTAAGTACAAATCCAGAGCAGAAAAAAAGAGCCTGATTTATGTGGTTCATGTGTCACCCGTGCAAAGAGCATGGATGGATGTTCTGTTTGGGGTCATGGAGACCGCAGTTCCTCTTTAACAGCTCAAAAAAATACTTAACATGGTTTTATCACCTTTTGAGCGCATGAATGTTATGAGAAGTTCTTGTACATGACTGCTTTAGAATGTCTGCTACAGAGACAGCTTTTGTTCAGGGTCTCAGAGACCCCAGCCATAAAATATGGGTTAGCCCTAAAACATCAGTAACATCCATTTAAAGGCCAACAAACAGTACATTTGTGTGTGTGTGACATTTTGGCAAACAAAATGGTTGGTTTGTTCATGCGTATACTATATAACATATAAAAACAGAAATATTTCCCATTTCAGTTTAAAAATGATGCATGTGGTCTTAGTTTGAGGAATCTGAAAACGCTGAGTTTGAATGAGGTCAAACGAAAAGAAAAACGAAGAAGCGAATAAGAAAGGACTTGCACATCTAAAACCAGGTGAATATGAGACGTGTGCTGCACCTTTTGAAAAGAACCTAATCTGCATGCAGTAAGAGGGACATGAAAGAGGGCTGTTTCCTGTTTGTGTGGTGTGTGTGTATAGAGGCACCTTCAGATGAAGCACCAGGAAGTGGGTTTGTGTAGCTCCGGCAGCAGGTCTGAGGGTGATGGAGGGAGGGGGTCGCCTGCCCTTTGATTTGTCAAAAAAGAAAGAAAAAATTCCATGACTTCATCACGTTTTTTACAGCAGCTTACTTTCCAATATGTACTCTCCACTTTGTGTTTTATTCATCGCTTCCTGCATAACAGGATAATGCAGGTGTGAACCCGATCTTCATCCACCTTTAACCCGCACGGTTAAGCAAGAGAATGTGGCGGCATGTACACTTTGTAATTGTGCTATCAGACGCAGCTTTACCTCTTTGTTTGAGAAAGAGGTGAGCAAACAGTGGTGGATGTGCTAACTGTGCTATTTCCCTTATCTGCACTTCCAGCTGAGAGCGAGTAAGTTGCAACCCTCTGTGCATGCACATGTGCATGTGTCGGTGTCGCTGCAGTATGACAGGTGATATGAGTGGGATAATTAATCACCAAACAAAGGCTGGGGTCAACACTGAGTGATGAGTTTAGGTTAGAGGCTATTCAGAGGCCGCTTTGTCTGTAGAAATCAGAGAGCACATTTGACCTCCTTTAGACACACATACCAGGGCTCACAAACCTGCGCAAGAAACATCAACTTACCGGTAAGTTGAAGCACTTTTAAAAACAATGGAGGGATTAGATGTTCCTCTTTAGAGTGATACCCATCGAAAAACATGGTTTGAGCATCAGTCACTGTGAAACTTAAGTGCATTGTTGTCATAATTTCCGCAAAGTCTGTCAATTTTCTGTCAATGTACGATGAGAAAAAAGATACCATTCTCATCTCTGTTAGGCAGCAACTGGTTAGTGCAAAGAATATAAACAGAGGGTAACTGCTAGCCTGGCTCTGTCAAAAGATGATTTAAATCCAAGTAATAGCACCTCTCATGCTAAGTTTTCCAGCACTGTATTTATTGCAATGTGATCTGTTCAGAAGACCAATGTAAAATTGGCCTATCATCATTAAAAACATGAATTTATGGCAGACAATGGCTTTGGGAAGTCACTGCTTCCTGCATGGGAATAGTGCAGCCCACTAGACAGCAACAGAGGTTTTAAAGTCTTGCTAAGTCAATGCTAAGCTAGGCTAACCTGCTGCTAGCTTGAACCACACATTTTCCAACATATTTAAGATTAGTACGAGTCTTAACACTCATTAACTCTTTGCCAAAAGTAAGTGTGTATTCCAAAATTCGGAACAAATGTGTAAATGCTAAACATCCTGTTTATTTTGGATGTTTAATTTAGGAAATAAAGTTTTTACCCAAATTAAAGAGTGTTTTTTTTTGTACTTTTTTTGAAACGTTTTACCCCTGAACAACACACTGAATGGAGAAGAAAGTGCAGACATTGTACTACAAACAGTCTGTTTGTTGTCCTGGACCACACACGCAGACACGTGTAGTAATAATGACAAATTCACTCTGAAGACAACAAACTGTTGAGTCAAATGCTGAGCTGTGACGAATCAACTAAAACAATGACAAATAAAGTCTCATTATTGACATTTCCCTTGATTTAAGGTATTCTAGATTAGAGTCAAATATGATCACTATGCAGGTGAAGATTCTGCGTCTCACCGTCCACAAGACGTGTATCTTGCCCAGTGACTGGACCTTTGACCTCACTGTTACAGGACACAACTCCAGCCTCTCTGCTTCTAAAGAGCCCTCATGGCTCATGTATAGTGAAAGTACACTTTCATCTTCTCTGACTTTTATCTCTGCTTTGTGTTTGATTTGTTCATGGCATCAGAGTTGGGATTTTGGGGTGTTATGGTTTTGTTTTGCCGTATATTGAAATTCTTAACTTAATTATGGGGAAGTGTTTTATAATTTGTGTTAACAAGAGGCCTCCTCATCCCGTCCCTAATCCCTTCCTGACTATTATCAGGCTGTATATATATATATACTCCACTGTTTGGGAAGTCTACCCTTTGAATACAAAACAGCACAGATTACTGACTTGAAAAAGAGAAAGTGGAATACCTATCTTTTCAAATCTTATGATCTCAAAGTATTGTATTGTAGTTGTGGTGTGCAGTAGCTGTGTCATTATCAGGATAGTCCTATTCTGAACCTTACAATTTCCCCTTCATGCATGTTTCCGGGTAATAACATATTTTTTTAATTTAATCATCTGATTATGAAGCCTTTACCGTTAGCTTCAGGCCTTACAGTTAGCATTTGAGAAACCACTTTGCTCTAATCTCTGTATATGTAATACTTTGCTTCACAGCCATGCCGTTTTTTCTTCTGCCTGCAGCAAATGGTAGGCTTTATCTTTCTAGGTCCCTGGCTATATGTGTCACAGTGAGACTGATTGCAGATCAACAAAGACAACAGTCACAACCACTCCCTGATCCTGTGGGTTTAACCCAGGCCCTCCGCAGCCCTATTATCTATGCGACTGAGACTATGACACACTGCTTACCGGGTAATGACCATTAGCCCTGCCAGGATCCAGTGTCACATGTGCTTTTCTCCCCCCTGGGCTAAGTGGCAACCCTTGACCTGTTAAAGAAAGACAGAGAAAACACACATGTGTTGAGCAGAGGAGCAGAGGAGCAGAGAGGTGAGGAGGCTTCAGAGGAGAGCACCGGTGATGGTCGTCTGACAGGTTGTGGAAACACACCCTTCCACTCCTTAGTGTGGCAGAAAAACAAACACCGAGCCACTAAACTCTCGCTGAGCTCTGCGCTAATGGACAAGCGATGACTTTTTCCTAACAAAACGCGTTGGCCCGATGGAAACAGGACCCAAGGACTGGCCAATGGGAAAGGCCGTCCCAAACCTGACACTGTTGTGCTTTGGGTTTCTGGTCCACTGGGCCGAGTGAGTCATTCTCTAGAGTGCTGAACCACTTAAGTCTTCCTGTCTCATGACTCCCTACATCATGGCCCGATGGGAGGAAAGTGACCACCATTAGCAGAACACCACCTGCT